AATACTTTTAACCAATCAGAATTGACCACCAAGCAAAATTAAATTTTATTATCAATAATCATAGCTATATAATAAAAAAAAATTTACTAAATCAATTAATATTTATACCTTAAGTAAAGTTGTTTTGGATAATTCCACATCTTATGTTTATATAAAAAAATTTTTAATTTTTTATATAAATATAATATGCAAAAGTGAATTAATAAAAGGTATTTAATTTACATGAAAATTTCAAAATATACGCAATTTATTATCTTGAACAGCTTTACTTAAGAGCATAAATATTAATTGACTTAATAAATTTCAATTTTAATATGTAGCTATGATTATTGATCAGAAAAGTAATGAGATTTGATAACTTTTTTATAAATAATTCAACTAATAAAATTATTTTATATGCAAATGACCCAAATGACCTAATGACCCAAATAACCTGGTCATTATTTGATAACTTGAGGTTATTTGAATTTTGATCAAATGACCAGGTCATTTACTATCCCTGCTATACTGTTTATAAAGAAACTCTATACTAGTATTGCAGAGTCTGGTAACTGGTCATTATGTTTTGAGCAGTATTTTATAACTGTCTCTGTTATCAGTTGACATAGAAATGTTGGGTTCATTGAGCAGATCAACCAATGGGTATTGTTCTCAATTGTCTGGGTATATCTGTTGCATGTTGGGTTTGTATATTTCTTTAAATATTGGTAATGTAAATTGAATAGTGTTGGTAGCTCATCTAATAGAAATTTAACTTTGAAGTTCTTTTTCTGTGATAGTTTTGGGTGTGTAAACCTTGTGTGCAGTTTGTTGTCATAATTAATGAATTGGTGAGTATTGTCCCAGTTTGTATTCTGTCAGATCTCTTGCCAACTATTTGTTCTGTTAAGTGAATGCCACTTGGCAGTGTTTCTGCATAAAAAATTATTGCTTACAGTATTCATAAAACACTTTAAAACATATTATTATTTTGAGAACTTAAAAAAAAATTTAATTTGGATGATAGAATATAATGAAACAGCCATTTTTTAAGCAAAAAAAAAAACTTATAAAGAGCAATGTATATAAATTGGCATAGTGTTATGTAGTTACTTGGGTGGTTTTTTTACTTTAAATGAAGATTTAACTAGTATTAAAAAATATCAAAATACAAATAGTGATATTTAACAGTTTTAGCGTATAATTTCTAATTGTAAAAAAATATTAGAAAAAAGAAATCAAAATTCTCAGAGAATTAATTTATTAGAAATGAGAATGTAGATCGATGAATGTTTAAAATGACATTCCATAAGCAAAACTGAGAGTTGTAGAAAAAAATATTAAGAACCTAAGACGCCAACTTCTGTATATCAGTATATTAAAAATACAATCTCTAACAAAATCTATAAAAGCCATTTATTTAATAGAAGAGAATTAAAAAGTTTTTTTAATCAACACTAAAAATTGTCAAACTGATATTATTATTGCATCTAATTATGATTATTCAAAACTGGTGGCGAAACCGCTCACACATGCAATGTTTAGTATCTAAATATTTAAATAAAAATTATATAAATGGCGTGAGTAAAAAATTTTCTTTTGACATTGAGAGGAAATTTTTATCATCGATCTCTGCAAAATAACAAGAAAGTTTGATCACATTACAAAAAATAGTTCACTAAATGCTGCAACTTGCATTTAAAGAAATAAGAAATTTTGTATTTATAGGGTGAGTTAAAGGTTGCATTTAGAGAAGTATTGAATTTAGAGTGGTTGCATTTACTATTAACGTTAAGAGGTCTGACCGTATAATCAAGTACAGCAAAAATAGTCGTGCCAAAAATATAAAACGTCTTCTGATACGTTCCGAATAACAAATACGCATTAACATGAAGGCAAACTCTGCTATAGTCAGTACAATAAAGAATATACTGTAGCTCAAGAAATTCATCAAATTTTTGTAATAAATAAATAAATTAATCTAATCACGACAATTCGAATAAAGGATTATGTAATTTAACGCATGTTTATTATAACGCACCTACCTGCCGATACGTATAGCTCATAATTTTGCCTATGAAACCACCTTCCGCGTTTTGCAAATTTTGAGGTAGATATGGTCTTTGTTAACCTCTACCTGACTATCTTAAAATTAATACGTTACTAGATATGTTTGAATTTCAAGTTACAAAGCACCTGCCAATAATATAAACAATATAATCAAATTTGATAAAATAAGTTTCAAATTAAATTTAAAATTTAATAAATGCATAATTTAAAAAGAAACAATGCCTTCTCAAATCTGCTTTTATCCTCATAACACTTCTTGTTTTCGTTAGAATCATTCTTCAAATCACAACTGCCGAACTTATAAATCTTATAACCAAAAGATTTTGTTAAATCTCATAATTGCGATAGACTCTGTCTTCCATCTAAAGGATAAAAATTCATTCGCTAGTCCAACTTCAACGTCATTATTATTACAACTTAACATATCTACAATGGCCTTGCATATTACGACTGCTTATCATTCTACAGTTAAACCTTCTTCAATTTAATGATTAGTTTGATGATTGGCGAAACGTTAAATGTGGCAGATTAAAATGAAATCAGATTAAAATGAAATGAGCGATAGTGTAAAATAGACAAGCCACCGAAAAAT